TATATTGTTAGTATTTTGAGAAGTGATATGTATTTTTTTTTTTGAATACAAAAGGAATTAAGAAAACAAATTATAGATCCCTGACCATTCTAGGCCAGGCTACCCCTCTAAAGTCACTCCCCAAAACTTCCACACATCCTTCAGGAGGATGGTCAAAGAAAACAGTCTCCCAACCTAAAGTACTAGCATAGTTAGCAAGCCAATTAGTTGTCCTATTACCCTCTCTATAGATATGCTTAAATTCCACCTACTAGTCATAATTCTGAAGCTGGGTGATCTTGTTAATAAGCCCAGCTAAAAGGTGGATGACAGAAACTCCTTCTTTGATCAGATCAAGGGCTATCTTCAAATCTCCTTCCAAGATAATTCTTCTATGACCAAGATCCCATGCCATTTGAAGACCCAGCAAAATACCCTACATTTCAGCTTTGACAGTGCTGCAAACTCCAAGATTTCTAGCATATCCCCTCAGCCAATGACCAGATTCATCTCTTAATACTCCCCACAACCACTCTGTATGCTATCTCCCTTAGATGAATCATCAGAATTAATTTTTAACCAACCCATGGGAGGAGGTGACCATTGCACTAGAGTCTCTTTTCTGGTTCTGACCTAAAACCCAGCTTTTCTATACATGGCTTTTGCTTCCAAAAAATTAGCTAAATAAGAGTAAGCTAATCTGGCAGTGTTACCTTCACAAGGGACTTCTCCTTCAAAGACAAACTTATTTCTTTCTTTCCAGATAAACCAGCAAACTAAACCAAATAAAATATTACCTTTAGTTCCCTCGAACATGCAATTACCTTGATCCAGATTATCACATAGCCAAGTTTGCAAGGGTAGGTCATTAAACTCTGACCATTTTAGAGGATTGATAAATGATTTCCAAACCTTTTTCGACCAACTACAATCCCTCATCACATGAAGACAACTCTCAGGAGCAGCCATACATCTAGGGTAGACATTAGAGACTGTCAAGTGTCTTTGTACTCTTCTCAAGTTTGTTAGGATATTCTCCTCAAGGAGAAGCCAGAGGAATGTTTTCACTTTAGGAGGCCCCTCCCAATCCCACACAAAGTTCCAATGCTCCTTTTGGTAATAGTCATCATCATTACAAAGCATGTTGAATGCAGATTTCGTGGAGAAGCTTCCATCCTGGGATAAGTCCCAGATTATTCTATCATCTTCTTCATTCAGATTAGGAGGAGAAGTGATATGTATTTGATAGCCTAAACAATGGATTGCTAGGCAATATGATTCATGTATGCATGACTTGTATAAAATATAATCAAATGTCAATTAGGTACTTGAGCCTTGAATTGGCAAGATGGTTTAATAAGACATTGGCATGGAGCCTTTGATATAAAAATCCATGGATGGATTCTAGATTGATGAAATGAAATATATTATTTATCAGGTGATATTAGGACAGGGAATTATCCTTAGATGTCCGAATTACATACGGAATGCCTTCAGATTTATTTTTAAAAAGATATGAGATGCAAGGAGGTATCAAGTAGTTTTAATTGAACAAGAAATAATTAGCTAATTGAAATATATACGAAAGAAAAAAATTATTCTCATTTTATGTTAAGACTAATAGCGATTTACTATAAAACAAGCTTCCGTGTTTAACTAATTAAACATGTTGTGCTTAATACCATTTTAATGTTAACAAATCGGTTCTAGAACGAGATTTTACATTCATTGTTTACAAATATAATACTTTGAATATATTAAAAAATTAAAGGATTAGTAATGATAAAATAATGTATAAAAAACACTTATATTGGAGACTTTTTAGAGTCTTCCAGTACATTTGGCTAAACTAAAAATCTTCTTCACTTTTGAAAGGTCAAAATTTTAGTCATTATCACAGTTAATTTTTATTGATCCCTCGTCCGAATTTTTTTCTGTAATATTTAAGATGGAATACATGACAAAGCCATATGAAAGTCAGTAATTAAAAACAATAACAGATTTGATACAAACTAAGATAATTTTTGATTGAGTCCAATATGAAGATATCTAGAAAGGCTTAAATAGTAACAAGGTAAAATTCATATGTGAGATGCATGTTAAATATTAACAGAGAGACTTACGGGTTACATTTTTCTTTGGAATAAATAGAGCTCAGATGATTTCCCTAATCTAAAGCGCACAACCTCTTTTTTTCTTTTTCTTTTTTGGTAAACAGCGCACAACCTCTTTATTATTATTCTCTTGGTTCTTCTTCTTCATGCTCATTTTTACCTTCTCTCTCTCATTTTTTTTTCTCTCCTTTCTATCCCTTCAGTTATGCTTTTATTTATAGGTTAGGCCTGCAATATGCATAACCTTATCTTAATAATCATATCAACAAGATTTATTCCTGTTTCATTTCTCTAATTAATTAGTTTTTTCCTCTAGTTTCCGTTTTCTTAGTTTGGATGAGGAAATAGTTCCTCTCTCTTCAAACTTATTTGTCAATTATGACTTTTTGATAAAGTTTCACGAAATGTATTCTTCTTTCTTCAAGTTTCGCTTATTTAAATTTGGGATATGTTATTTTATTTATCATTTTTTCTGTCTACCTTTGTCTATCATTCTAAAACATCATTAGATCAGAATCTCAACTAACATTTATCTTTCTCTCTTCGTTAGATTCTGATCTATTGGAGGAGCAAACATGTAGAGCTCCCGGACCAAAGCACCCTCTGTGAGAGAGAGGAGAGAAGAGATAGAGAGACGAAGAAGGAGGAGAGAGAGGGGGACCAAGAAATTATTTTCGTGTTGGAGAGTGATAGGTAAAAGATAGGCAGAAATAGTAGGTAGAATAACCTATCCCTTTAAATTTTAAATGATCTTTTATCCTCTTTATTATTTTTATTATAATGTGTTTGTTTGTTAAATTACAAATCTCAAAGATTAATGTAAGTATTTACAAAGTTTCAACAGGAATTATAGATCCCTATACTCAAAAGGTTTGCAGGAACGTCTCATGTGAAACCATTATTTTGCTTTCAAAACTTAATTTGTACGAGTGTTCTAAAACCTTGAAAATCAAAGTGGTTAATTTATTTTTATTTTTTATTTTTTACTTTATCAGCTCATTTATTTAACAAAAGACATTATTTCTAATTCGAAAGGAAAGTACAAATGTAAGAAACAGAATTCTAGAAAGTAATTTTCCTATATTTTAAAATTCATTAATTAGGTAAATTCAATGCCAAATTCCAATTATGATTCTCGTAAAACATAAAGATTTGATTCCTTTAAAAAAAATATTAAAAAATTTTGGTACATGAAAATCAATGAGAGATGCCAACTTCCAAATCTTTACCATCTAAAAAACATCTTTGGTCAATGAAATTTTCAACACGTAATTTTTTTTCACTTAAAATATTTTTATGTGAAAAAAATAAAATAAAAATTCACACGTAATTTTTTTTTTTTTTTTGGTAATCACACACGTAATTATTCTAATCACAACTATAAATAACTCAATATATGAAATAATTGAGTTTAATATACAAGATTTGAGAAAATATCTGAAATGATTTTTTTTTTGTTATATTTATATAGGGTTCACTTTTTCTGCAGTCACTGCAGATAAGTTATCTGCAGTAAGTCCAATACGACGTCATTTTGGGGCGAAAATCATGATATTTTTATAATTTTAATTTATTTCAGGGTTATTATAGTCTTTATAATTATAATTTTTTAATCTTTTAATCTCAAAACGAAATTATTTTAAGAGTAAATCCAGATAACTTATCTGCAGTAACTGCAGAAATATTTTTCTGATTTTATTTCTTTTAAAAATCTCAATGGTTCCCTAGGGTCCACTGGTAAGATTCACTTCACCAATAAATCTTCAATGCAATCGATGAACAAAAGATTTAGTGCAATTATTATTTATTTTGTAACACGTAAATAAAAAAATATTATATTATTTGAAAAAAAATTAAATGACAACTAATTAATATATAATATATATTTTTTCATATATCACAAAATGAATGAAAGTTGTAATAAAAATTTATTCCCACTTCACATGTTCAGAAAGTACGTCACTCAAGTAAATCCAAACCCCAATACCAAGGCATGCAACTAATTGTTTTACCTGACAGAAACTGAAAACTATTATTAACAAATGTGATTGGTTTTTACACTTTCTTGACTTGCAGACACTGTCAGACAAATCCTCACATACTCCTTTGCTATTCGTTGCACCAACATGTAGTTTTCAATAGCCAAAAATCATTGTCATTTTGTTTTAAAATCTATCTAATATTGTGAGGTAGAACAACTTGGTCAGCTAGAGAGACAAGAGGACAATATAACACATATACACAAGACAAACACTGTGCCTCAAAGGTTACTAATGCTTCAGAACTTGTCTTACATAGTATCTGTCTTAAAATAGCCAAAACTCTAATATCATAATTAACGCTGTAGACTCACGGTAGAAAATTAAGCATATTTAATATAAACCAAAATATTATATTGAGAATAAAATAAGATCAATTATTCAATAGGAAACTAGGTATTGGGTAATTTTAGCTGAAAGCTTGGTCATAATTTAATTGGTTGATACTTGAGATGAAGCACAACTTGGCCAAGATAGGGTACGATAATTTCATATAACCTGGCCAAGATAGGGTACATATATATATATATATATATATATATATATATATATATATATATATATATATGAGGTAGGATCCTTTGACACCGGTGTCAAATTTGAAGTTTGACACCTCATCTGAGAGCCGTTAGATCAAAAAAGATCAACGACTTTGATGAATAATTGATCAAATCAGAGTCGTTGTTCTTTTTTTTTCTAACGGCGCTCAGATGAGGTGTCAAACTTCAAATTTGACACTGGTGTCAAAGGATCCTGCCTCTATATATATATATATATATATATATATATCAGTATTTCCATTTTTCCTATATAGGCTGTGTCACCAAAACACAATTTCATTTGTTTTTTGTTCAATGCAGAAGAAGCTATGCTGAATCCTTGTGACTTGCAAATCCACATTAATGATGAGGAGATATTCCTTTTGAACAAGGTAGGTATTCTAGGAATTCATTAGTGTTATTTGGTTTATTTATTCTCTAATATTGTTAGATTCAAAGAAAAAAGATAAAATATCCAATGTCTCAGGTGAATCTAGTTAATTTATTTTGCAGAAGTTAATATCAAAATACTGTGGAAGAATGAAGAAACTCTTGAATTATGAAAAGAGAAGATGTCATGTCAAGAAACTGAGCATTGAAATCAATGATTTCCCCGGAGGGCCAGAAGGGTTTGAGATGGTTTCAAGATTCTGTTACAATCATGGCAAAATCCCTTTCAGTGTATCCAATGTGCTTATCCTCCATTGTTGTGCCCTTTATCTTGAAATGACTGAAGAGGTCTTAAGCAACAATCTCTTACTACAAACAGAAACCTTTCTTGAGGGAATCTATTACTGGACATGGAATGAAATACTTGCAAGTCTTAAGAATTGTGAGCTTTTTTATACATATGCAGATAGCTATGGTCTCTTAGAGAAGATCATTTGTGCACTCTTAGAAAAGATTGCTCAAAATTCTGATGGAAACCTTCTCATTTTCCCATCTTCATCATCCCCATCTTCTCCTGAAAGCAATTCTGCCAAGAGATTCTCTTCTTCAACCCAAATTACTCCAAAGACAATCAAGTCAACTTTGCCAAACAAAGCATGGTGGTTTGAGGATTTGGCTACTTTACCCTCAAAGATCATTGAGAAGTTTCTTCACAGTATTGGGGCTTATAAAACAAACAACAAGAACTTAATTATCACAAGATTTCTGCTTCATTATCTGAAGACAGTGACTCCAACAAGAGAGGTTAGTTGCAAAAACAGTAGTGAGTATGCTGGTCTTGCAGAAACTGCTGCTTATGGGGTAATGTTTGTTGGTAATCAGAGTTTTTCTTGCAGAGGCCTTTTTTGGGTATTAAGGATTGTATCTAAGTTTGGAATGAGTAGAGATTGTAGAATTGAAATGGAGAAATTGATTGGTGGCATGCTTGAGCAAGCAACTTTGGATGATCTACTAGTCTCTGGGGATCATATGGGACTTTGTTATGATGTTAATTTTGTTATAAGATTGATTCAACTATTTGCTGATTTCAATGGCTCTGATGGGGTGAAACTGAAAAAAGTTGGTAGATTAATTGACAAGTATTTGACAGAGATATCCCCTGATCAGAACCTCAAGATCTCTAAATTTCTTGGAGTTGCAGAATGTTTGCCTGACTCTGCCAGAGATTGTTTTGATGGGGTCTACAAAGCCATTGACATCTATCTTGAGGTGAATATCATATACCCTTTTTCAATTGTTGCTCTAATGCACTATTATTTCCTAATGAATGCTAATAAATGGGAAATAGCAAACACAAAATCCTTCTTCTTGTATTCATATTGAAATTGGTTTTTCTCCCCCTTGAAAACTGAGTTATATTATTTTTTTACACCTCTTCTGTGTATCTATATAGGGTTTTATTAATATCATGTTAAATGAGATAAGTTATCTCATGTTATAGAGATAAATTTGTGCGCTCCACTATCTGAAAAAAAAAAAAAAAAGATGGCATAGTTATCAAAGGATGTGTAGGAAAGAAAGTTATCACATGTAGTATAAGAGTAGTTTTTCCTATCAAATATAAGAATCATGTTATAGGAATTCCTGCAACAAAAAAATAACTATATACTACGAGTAGTACATAATTATAGGAGGTATAAAAAATAATAACTATGTATAATTCGTAGTACATAATTTTTTTTGCAGGATATCCTGCAACATGACATGACATCCGAGGGAATATATATATATATATATATATATATATATAGGGGCAGGATCATCTTACACCGGTGTAAGAATAATAAGTCTTACACCAAATCTTAACCATTGATTTTTTACATCTAACGGTTAAGATTTATTAGGTCTCACTCATTAATTAATTTTTAATTTCCAATAAATCTCAACCATTGGATGCACGGAAATCAATGGTTAAGATTTGGTGTAAGATTTATTATTCTTACACCGGTGTAAGTTGATCCTATCCCATATATATATATATATATATATATATATATATATATATATATATATATATATATATATATGAGATATGATCCTTTGACATCTTCGTCTGAGAGCTATTAGATAAAAAAAGATACATGCTTACAAATCAGAGTCATTGATCTTTAAGATGAGGTGTCAAATTTCAAATTTAACACTGATGTCAAATGATATATATATATATATATATATATATATATATATATATATAATATTGGGATCTCTGTCATTGTCATATTATGTGTCATATGCAATCAACCATGAAGAACAACAAAAACAGAGGATAAGGGAAGGTGCCCATCGTGTTGGCAAGGGAACTTTGCCAAATGTCAATATTATTATAAAATAGCTTTTTTTCTTTTTTTTTTGTCTGAATACCTCAACATTCCTCCCAATAATGCGTATTGTAAATACACCAAAGAATTTTAATGATTAAAAAAAAAAAATTGTGTCCACTGGTAAATGTATTATTATTTTTTCCTTCAAAAATTTCTCTCTAGAATTATTCTTATTAAAATAATTTATGGGGATTTTATAATTCAATGACTCTCATTTTAGCATATAATAATAGTAATGATGATGATTTTGGTTTGTTTGTTTAGCATCAGAATTTGAGGTTAAAGATAGCATTTTCCCCCATTTTTGGCTCTTCCAGCTCATGATGTCTATATAGTCATTTATCCATAAGTTCCACTGTTATTAAATACCTGTTAATCTCTTATTTCAATTAATATTTTTGATAGGTTTTTACATATGGCATAGGAGTAAGGTTTTTTTGCTTTTTATATACTACCATATTTGACTTCCAAGATTATGTAAAATTCTCTCATATCCTGAACTAATGAATTGCAGTCCCATCCAATGGTCACATTTGAGGATAGGTCAAGATTATGTAGATGTCTTAATTACAATAAACTTAGCTTTGAAGCTTGCAAGGATCTTGCCAAGAACCCCAGAATACCTCCAAGGATTGCAATGCAGGCTCTTATTTCTCAACAAACAAAAATGACATCAATTGACTGTGCAATTGATGAAAGTGAAATCATGGACCCTTCACAAATCATTTTGTACTATGAAGCCAACACAGACAGTTTCTTGGAAGAGAAGGATGATATGAAACTAAACCTACAGAGAATGCAATGGAGAGTAAGAGAATTGGAAAAGTTATGCAGGGATATGAAGGTTCGGATGTCAAGTTTCCCTAGCCATAATGTCTTGCTTAATCCTTCTCGTGTCCCAAGATTTTGTTAAATATATGCTTCTCTTTCCCAGCCTATCACTATCCAAGATATATAAATTGGTATTTCTTTGAATTGTAAAAAACTAAACAACTCTCCTACACACACAAAAAAGGGTTGGGTCCCACCACTCTTTTTTCTCTCTCCTCTTACCTGTGAGGGTCCCACTTATACTTTTATTTCTACAACATGAGATAATTTTTTTCCTACAACATAAGAAAAATATATCTCATACATATATATATATATATATATATATATATATATATATATATATATATATATATATATATATATATGGTTGAGTTTCAACTAGTGTTATCAGACCCGGCTCGACCCGAGACTCGATGAACCGGTCATCGGACCGGTTCAAGTCAAGTATCGGACCGACCACGTATTGGATCCGGTGAATACCGGTGATCCGATTGGGTAATGAAAACCGATGGGTTCATGCATTTTTATTAAAAAAAAAATCAAAAACCAAAGTTGTCTCTCCGGAAAAAGTGTGAAACTCCTTTAAAAAAACTTTTGTAATTTTACTTGCTAGTAGTATACTCTCATACATTGACCTTAAATTTCAACTTTCAAGACTAAAGCAATTTGCAAAACAATAAATTAAGAGAAGATGAATATTTATTCCTTACAAATCCATTTTTATGGGAAGAGTTGTTGATAAATGCCTTATAATTATGAAACATGATTAATTGAGGATATTTGGTATAGGAATTATATATGCTTACTTGATACTTGAAGTTTCTTTTTTCTTTGTTTATTTCCTTTACAATATATTGTATGTGATTACCATCTATTAATTTTTTTTATCCCTACAAAAACTATATATACTTGCAAACCAGTGTCACAATTTTTTACATGTATTTAAATATTTTATGAATATTTATGTATAAAATATATATTTTTATGTACTAACCTGAGTCATGCGATTCAATCGATGAACCACCAGTTGACCCAATGACCCAATTTAGTACCTCGACCGGCTCAATGATCAAATCGGGTCAATGACCCAGTCATGAGTTATGGTCTAAAATTCAAACTATTTCCAAAATATGAAAGGTAAAACTGCGTACAACGTCCATTCTCGCAAAGTCAGGAAACTTGGTACATGGGGCACACCCTTTATCATGTGCTTATATATATATATACATATGATTGCCCAAAATTCAAGTAAAAGCACACATAAGCATGTCAAAACCATACATGTAACATCCAAAATGGGTATCAATTAAACGGTTGATCCCTAAAGATAGAAGCTGTTAGCAGCTAGGTAGTTCCACAAATTGCAAATGACACTGTTTTGTTTCACTCATGTACAACCAAGAAATAATGAAAATAATGATTTCCCTTTACATATTACAAAACAGCTAATAACCATGGCGTACTAGCAAGCATCATAGATCTACAGCAGTTCCTATGCCATGATAGAATCACCAATAATCCAAAACCAATGGAGGGTAAATATGCTTTCCTATCTTCTTTTTCCTTTTTTTTTTTTGTGGCAACGAAAATGTTTGATTTATACAACAGAAGTGCAAATTTTCCTTCAAATAAGAAAAAAAATAATAGAGCAGTAAGATCAAAGTTGGACTAGAAACTGTGGAAAGTCCTGAGATAGTGTGATAACGGTTGAGGTGTGGCTCCTCAATCACATGTAGCAGTAAGCCAGTAACACATTTGAAGCTAAAACTTCCACATAAAAATGCCAAACTCTCTACATTGATGCATTTTGAGTAGGCAATCTTCATGCAGTCATCAATTTGCTGGATTGAATTGGTAATACATAAACTAATCAACTTATATATATCTGATTTTCTATACTTCAGTTCACAAATATGACAGTAATATGTGCTTTTTGAAAACCAAAGTTTAACCAAAAAAAATGTTTGGTATTAAGATGTACAACCAAAATCTATAGTAGATATTTAAGTCATCCTTAATGAAATTAAGAATTACAAGAGACCATAAAAAGAAGAAGCTCTAACTATGTATCACCTAGTAAATTGAGAATCGAGAAACCAATCATAATTAACTGCAGTTACAACTTACAACTTACGGGTATGTTTTACTACAGATAGAATATTCAAAGTATATTTTCACATTAACACAAGAAGATCAATGCTTTTGCTTTACAAATATTCTGATGGGTATATATGAAAATAAAGTTTCCAACCAAAGCAAACCCTTTCCGAAATTCTAGTGCACATTAACAAATAACAATACTTTCTGGTCAGAAACTTTGCGCATCTTTCATGATTCCTTTACTTTTTTTGTTCCTTCCATTTATATGTTCAACCTATTGCTATTTGTATGTAGGCTAAAGTAAATAGAGAAGGGAAATAGATCCTCTCAAGTGACATGAGTTCATGTGAGAGGAGCTCAACCATCTAAATATAAATCAATGGTTATTCTTTCCTCGCCCTTTATCTTAATGCATTCTCCAAACATTATTGATTTATATCTGGCCGATTGAGATCCTATCACATTACTTTATGTCACATTAGAGCATCCATTTCAATTGAGGACCATGTTGCACACTGATGAGACCTTGGGATGCACTACCCCGAAAGCTAACTCAAAGGATAAAAGTGCCTCCCATACAACCAGTGTGGAACTCCAAGTCCCATACCTTGCAAATAGAACCCAACACACACACAAAACACATGGAAGCATGATTGTATAACTTCAACAAAGGAATAGTGGTAAACATAAAATGAGTTCAGTTGGCCAATAGCTTACCTAAGTTTTATTAGGCAATATACTACTCACGAGGTCCTCGTTAATGGAAACAGGAAGTGGAGGCATTTGGCTCATTATGCCAGGCATCTCTCTCATGCTGCACAAATTTAATCAGTGAACTTCAAAAGGCAATACCGCGATAGCCATCAAATCCAGATCAAAACAAAAAATAGATTTAGATAATATTAATAGTAAACTTAGTTTAAATAATCACATACTCATTAAAAATGGTACTAATATTGCGCCATGTGTGACTGAAGAGATGGATGTTATCCTGCAACTGTTTATAAAAGAACATGATCATTATTGCAGCTTAGACTTAAGAGGCCAAAAAATAATTTATATATGAACAACATGACAATGCAAAGAAAGAAATTGCATAATAAGATTAAAAAAGGATAAAGAAAAAGAAACAAGTATGAAACCAATTACCTACAAATTGTTAATCAATTCAGATTATCAATAACTGTGAAGCATTTAATGTTTTCCCCCCGTTAAGTTACAACAGACTGAAGCTTATCATATTGCTGTTGTAAGTTAAAACTATTTTGCATGAGGTGCAGATGGTTTGATCACTTAAACAAAGTGAATGTTGCATCACTCTTTCAGATCATAGGATGCAGAATAAGATTACGTAAATGGAAAACTGAGTCAATAACTGATGCAAAACTTGCACACAATAATCAAAGAGGTAAACGTGGAAATTCGTTAAAGCATCAGAGTAATCCCATTAAGTAAGAATCTTAGCTAAAAATATTAAACAAAGATGATTCAATTACTTTGTATGCAGGGACACATAATGACAGATAACCATTCAATACCATATGTCAATAAGAAACCTTTCTTCTATGTTCCTCAATTTTCTCAGTTTGCTATACAAGACATTAATTAATCATCAGTGGAAACAGCTAGGTAGGTGCAATCCCACATATAGTGAAGTTTTTAACCATTAAATCGTTCGTTAATAATGGTTAATTTTCCATCTTTCTCAAGGGCTTATAAATCATCAGTTGCACCAGTATTTATGAACTTCCAAACAAAGACCTATAAAAATTAAGGGTGATATATTCACCTTTAAAGTAGATAAATTGGCAGTGATTTGACCAAAAGCTTGAGCATTTTGCTCCAAGAGTTGCTTCACAGGACCACAAATTCCTGACAGTTAAAAAAAGAAAAAAAAGTAATTGACAAAATAAGGACACTAGTGCCAGTGATTCAAAGGAACACAATAAAAGCTAGTAAGGGGCTGGGATTCTCTATGAGTATATAAAGGGACTAAAGAGATAGTGACTAAGAAAAAATGCAAAAAAGAAAGTGGATAAACTGAGAAATTCATCTACCTGTTACATGACTCTAATTAAACTAGTTTACCCTAGCCTACCAAAAAGACATGCAACTAATCAATAATAAGTAATATTTACAATTATTGTATTTCATTAGCTTTCATGTCACAAATTTCAAACCTTGTATGTTCAAAATCCTTTCTAAGTTTTAATTTCTAAAATAGAAATACCGCTCTAAAAAAATGCAGTTTCTTAAACAAATAAATTGGTAGAAAGGAAGAAAACAAGAAAAAAAAAGTCAAACAGAAAGGAAAAATGTGAAAGGAAATTTTATATAAATCAGGGAGGAGACTAATCCTGCTATGGCTACAAAACAAATAGATAAAAGAGAATAACAGAAAAGAAACGAAACCAACATCTTGAAAAAGCTCTGAGAACTATGTACATAAATGATAGAAATCCCCCGTAAAAATGGGTTGACATATACACACATAAGCCTATAAAACCCGAGAAAGAATGGAAGGGAGAAACTTCTTGTCAAAAATATCTGGCATTACACTCCCATATACAGATATGAAATTTTGACAACCAGAGCATAATACCACTGAAATTTACTCTTCTTCCTACTACAATCTTTTAAAATCAATAGATAAAATTTGGTCCAAATACTTTAGTTATTTTCATTTTAATAACTCATCATGCTTGCTTGACATAATACCATATATATAATTATGTGTTAGAGATATATAAAAACCATTAATATAGTCTCACCCATCAGCTTAAGCTTTTGGATTGAATTGGTTTTTTACATTATGGGCTATGGTTAGAATTTTAAAATTGCAATTAGTTGAAAAAGGGGGGGAAAAAAGATGCATGCATATAAGCAAATATTTATCTGGTAGAAGAACCAGAGCTCATTAGGGGTTTTTTATAAGCCAAGCAACTTCAATCAAGGTATATAATTATAAAGTGAAAAATCGACAAGATAATTTCTTTCCACTTCATCTAACATTTTATTGGAGAAAAACCTACTTTCTTCTTTGTGAAAAACATGCATACTTCCTTCCTCCTTAGTCTAAAACCATCAAGTTCTTTGTACTCTCTCCTTATAACTCCAGAAAAGCTATATCTCCAATTGGATCATGCATACTTTTGGGGGAAATCAGAATTCAAGCAGGTTCTCCTTCAACTATCTTATCAGCACTTCCTTTATAAGGGAATGCAAAGTAGATGATTGAGCTAAATAGCCGAGGAAGACAATGTACCAAACCTCTTCAAAAATTGAAGTAAGACCAAGGGGTACAACACAGTAGTAAAAACAATAAAGTTTAGTAGCCAATGTGCTGACCACTTTCTGCATTCAGCATGAAGTAAGATTCTTGCTTCTAAATATTTCAGTATCCTACGCCATCTTTTTCATGTTTTCAGCAAACTTCAAACAATAATTAAAAAAAGAATCACAAAATGCACCAAACATCTTTTCCTCTGCAGAGATTTGCTTAATTCTTACAAATAGATTGTTAAATCACCAACCAAAAGGTCTAAATATAATGTGAAACCTGTTAGATATATAAAACCATTTCCAGACTTCTACCTAAAGGCTAAAACTTTAGGAGAATTGTTCCTTGACATTGTATTAGAGCTCTTATGATCAGGTAGTCAAGAGTTCAATTCTTGTCGGCCCCATTCTTCATAAGTAAATTAAATTTTAATAAACAATAAAGTGAACTTGTACAATTATCCACGCTTCAAGCCTAAAGAGATCTCACACCATGGGGCATGTTAGATATATGAAACCATTCACATAATGGCTTATGCTTTTAGGAGAGTTTGACCTTGGCAAAACTCAACGGAAACTTTACAAATCAGAGATATTGATGTTGCACTTGCACATAAGTAAAATATTACTATAAACAAGAAATTAATACACCAACCATCATATAGTATCCGATGACTTTTGCCCAAATTGTTTGACATACAAGAGTATGTGGCCATGCTTGGCCTTGGTGTTAGAGCTGACTGCAAATATTGCTTTGATGATGACTCCACCGGCTTATCCTGAAGAAGCATGACTTTTAGAATACTGGTTCTTCAATCAACATTAGATCCTAAAGAAATTAATTGATTCAATATTATCAAAACAGGAGTCCTGTTTATGTTTTGCAAATGACATAACATGTTATCACCAACATCATAGACAGGAATGATTTGCAACATAAGCATATTTTGTTATTAACATAACTTCTAAGTTATCACTGGCATCCTTCAATTCTTATTGCATTAATATATAAACCTACGACACATTTGATGTAAATGTTTTCTTATGATTCTATAGAGAGACTTCTTCGATGGAGTTGCACGTATTGCATTAACACATAAATATCCTATGCGGCTATGTTGGTTCTTTAAGAAGGAACCTTGTACTTTTTTTTTCCTCTTCCAATTGACTCTTTTATCAAAATAAAAAATAAAAAACTCAGCTTATTGCCACATGCCCAATCTTGATTAGAAACAAACAAGCAACCTCATAATATTGTCTTTTCAATGCGTAAAAATTACTCAAGTAGACATTCAAAATTCAGAATGGATTCTCTCATGTGAAATTTTTGTCTATTTCTTTCTTCATTAATGATAATTGGATCTCAACTATTTAATACATGTGAAGAGAGAGATAGATACAAAAATTTCACATGACCAGGTCATGTGAAATTTTAACATGAGAGGATCCATTTTCTTCACAATTAGAGGAAAATTGGCAAAATATATTTGCAGCAACCTACTTAAAACATCAAGTTGACATTCAGTAAAAAATTATCAAGATTGACTAGACTATTGAAAAAAACTATATTATAAGAAGTACACCAGCTTCCTGAATTTCACATACCTTCCTATTGTTGAACTTCTTTACCATGTGCTCTTCTGGTTTCCTTCGCTTTCTCTGCAAAATCATTTAAACAGTATTTTCAGTTCCAATAAACAGATGTTAAGGTGCTGGTTAAATAAGTACCCAAGTTTTATGCGTAATACATTGTGTTCATACAGCACGTAACATTTTTTTTTCTGGATAAAAGTCTATCCTTCTAATTAAAACAAAGTTTGTCCATAACATGACATTTTTCAATTTAAATGGAAAAAAACAGGCAACGAAGATTATTTGGTTTATTTAATTAAGAAACAACCTTTACATAGGGTCTTTTTTACTTTTTTCATCTTGGATAAAATATCAGACATCTATAATATGTTTCTATAGAAAGAGAAAATTTTTAAGATACACAAATGTGGGAAAGTACTATAACGAACCATTTCATCCGAAAGCTTAAATTGTTAACTGAAGATCACATCAATGGTTTTATATTATATCTATTTGACACGTCCCCTCACACAACCGTTATGCTTAAAAGGTGGAAAATGTATAGCCCCTCCTATCTATGCTAAAAAACTCCATAATATTTAATTATTTATTAATAGAATGAGGGACGATAAGGATCGAACTCGGGATCACTTGGTCACGTAGAGTTTGATAACATGTAAAGCGTCAATTCAACCTAAAATTTTAAGCTATTAGGTGATGCTACATTAATGGTTTTTATATTGTATTTCTCTAACAAGTGTAACTAGGGAGAGAAGGCATACTTCTAAAAGAAAGGAAACTACATGGAACTTGAAAACATGACAAATGAAGCAAAGTTTTCCTGTCTCTGCTTATTATAAATGGCATCTCTCTAGAATTAGCAATAAGCATAACATTAAAGAGACGCCATTATTAAGGGAAGAAGCAACAAGAGATATTTAGTGAAATCTACGTTTCTAAACTACACAACAGGGTCTAGATTATATAGCCAAAAATAATAAACACAGAATACAAGTCCATAGACTCTGCCAAGCGCCATGACATGCCAAGCACCAGTGGGCTTGTAAAAGTCATATAACAGAAAAGAAAAAGAGTGGAAGAACTCAGGATTTGAAAGGCTGAGAAGAGAGACTCAGTATAATATAATTTCAAAAGGCTCCCAAAGAAGTCAGAGGATGCTAATATCCTCAGGTGAGAAGCATTGAGGAAAAAGAAATAGATTTAAGGCAATAAATACATAGTGAATGATCTGATGTAGCAAAAATAATGCAGACAGAGTGCGCTATAGCCATGCAATTTGGAAATCTCAAAGCAAATTGCATAATGCAACCAGCCACTGCAAGTTCTATAGTTCTAGAGCTGGTTATGAGTAACTGTTAGAAATCACAGGGAGTTTTACTAACAATGCTACAAGCCACAACAGGTCAAACTCCATTTGTAAAAAACCTTGGGATACACCACCCCAAAAGCTAGCTCAAAAGGTGGGAGTGTCCAAGACCTTATAAACTCCACATTAGTTGCACATACAACCAATGTGAGACTATATATCTCAACACGCCCCTCACACGAGAGCCCATTGGGCTTGAAGAGTGGACAATGCAACAGGCCCATCCTACCTGTGCTAAGAAACGCCACAAGAGAAAGTGAGGGGCGGCGAGGCTCTAATACCATGTAAAGAACCTTGGGATACACCACCCCAAAAGCTAGCTCAAAGGGTGAGAGTGCCCAAAGCCTTATAAAGACCACATTAGTTGCACATATAACCAATGTGAGACTATATATCTCAACACGCCCCCTCACACAAGAGCGAGTAGACAATGCAACAGATATAACTTTCAAAATGGACCTAATTAGAAATAGGTGCCACACTTTGTGTGTAAAAAATTCACTACAGAAAAATTAGGTTAAAAGATTCTTATTTCTATCTTGTTATATACATGTACATAAACACACTCCTCCCTTGTTTAAATGGAAGAAAGTAAAACCCAATGCCCAGATTTAGATGTACCTAGGCATTACTTTTACTAAGAAAAGGCAACACAAACATTATACTACAAGGTTTATCTAAAATATAAGAACTACATTATAAAGTAGAAAACAACTTAGGCTTACAAAGAGCATAGTCAGTATTAAAATATGAAGATTGGAGACATTGTTAGAAGAAAAAGAGCTTACAGTCATCCACCTACACCTCAAAGCAACATCGCGAACATTTTTATCATCAATGTAGCAGCAATTTTGACATACTTCATGATACTTGGCTCATCAGCATATCTAGGCAATAAAAGAGTAATGAGAAAAAGAAAGAAAAACTAGGGTTATGCAATATAAACTATAAAGAGGAAAACATATCAACACAAGCATATAAACGTACTTGATGACACAAACTTAGCAT